AGAGATTTTATAGACTTAGAATTTTGTTCCCGCTTGCCAAAAACATCATTCTGTTAACCTTACACATAAACCGCAGTTTCTTGGTTTCTGTTAACAAAATCAGACGATAGAAGAAGTTTTAGTATTTGGAAAGTTTTTTCTTAGAGAGCATATACTGCTTATAAAATTTATGACCAAAGACTAAAGGTGTTCAAATGACATAAGGAATATATAATACCAAAACTCAAGGACCCAGCACACAGTATCAAAAGTAAAATATTCAGGTCCCAGGAACCTCTTCCCAACCAGAGGGAAACTCCTCTTGATTTGATTTGCCATTTTGATTTTTTTTAATGTTTGTATTTGTTGCTGCTGTTTATTGAGTTTATTTTTAGAGCAGTTGAAGGTTCACAGCCTGACGACTTTTTTATAAGATATTACTTTCCACATTGTGCATATTCTCTTAAGATACATTTTTGATTTTTGCTTTCATTTTTTAAACTTTTACGATTTTTAAAATCTTATTTCTGTTTTAACTGATTTAGCCTTCTGTGACATCCTATCATAAAATCACTTCCCTAGACCCTGGGCCTTTATTTTACTTCATAACTCATTGCTATAGATTTTCCAGTAGGTTTATCAAAGGACTCATGAGAACATTTCCCAAAACTGTACATTTGAGAATTTTGTTGCCTTCACACATGAGGGAGAATCTTGCCCGACATAATATTCTTAAGTAACAACTATTTGGCTCCAAACTCTTTCTTGCTCTTGGTATTTTTCATGTCGGTAAAAACACCTGAAGCCAAACTGGTTTGTAACTGTTTTAGTGGTTACTGACTTTTTTCCTTTGCCTCACTGTTTTAAGACCTTTTTTTTTCCCTTTTTCTTTGTAACCCCAATATTTTGCCACAATGTGTTCAGTTATAACTGAGACTAGAACAGGGTAAGTTCTTTCAATATGATACCCAGTTCTTTCTTAAGTTCAGAAAAGATTTATCCTTCAAAACTTCTATTATATTTGTTCAGATCCTGGGTCAGGAGAATCCCCTGGTGCATTGCTCACCTGCGCTCCACGTGGATCACTCCAAACATCCCCTGTGAATTTTGGTCAACTTTGTTTTTCGTATCAGTGATTGAATTTCTGCAACAATCGTTCTACTTCTCATAGCTTCCCTACATGCTTAGCTTATTTGTTATTTTTAAATTGAAGTATAATTAAGAGAGCATAAAATGCACAGAACTCAGGTGTCCAGGTTGATGAATGCTGACAATGGCCATTTAACTATCTTTCAAGAAAACAAGATATTAAACATGTTCATTGCTCTAGCAAGCTCTCTCACTGCCCCCAGCCCCAACCCTTGGAAACGACTTTCTCATTTCTATCAACACAAGGTTAGCTCTATTGGTCTCTAGGTTTCATGCATATGGGGACACATAGGGTGTGCTCTTTTGTGTCTGGCTCCTTTCATTGAACAAAATCTTTTGTTAGATTGACCCTTGTTTTGCATATCTCAGTGGGTTGTTCTTTCCTGAATGGTGAGTAGCACTCCATTATATGAGTTTGCTTCAGTTTGCTTATCCATTCTCCTGTCGGCAGGTGTCTGGGTTGTTCCCAGTTTGGGGCTACTAGAAACACAGCTGGTATAAACATTCATGTACAGCTCTTTCAGCAAACATACGTGCCCATTTCTCTAGGGTAAATACCCTAAAATGGAATTACTGGCTCATAGACAGATGTATATTTAACTTTACTGCCAGTTTGCCAGTTTTCCAAAGTAGTTATAAACCTTACTCCCCCTCTAGCCACGTGTGATTGTCTACATGCTTCTCATTCTTCCCACCCTCCCCCGCCACACACACTCTAGTTTTCTTCTTTCAGTTAAAACGTTTCCCTTTCCATCACAACTTGTGATCTTTTCATAGCACCATGTTTTCTTGTACACCAAGGATGATGGCAATTTTCTGAAATTTTCTTCTGGGTCCTGAAGTAGATCATTTTCAGAGGTAAGCTCATCTTCTCATCCTTTTTGATACTTTCTCTTGTTGGCAATATTTTTGTTAAGCTTCATGTGAGTTTCTCCTGTCTCATAGGTGAACAAGCCCAGAACTGTCTCCACTTTGATAGACAGGGTGAACGAGCCACTTTTGGATCTGCTCTCTCTCTAAGTATGAGGTTAAATGATGTTCTGAAGCCTACAGGGGATGAGCAGGTTGATATATAAAGGTCATGTTTAGGAAAGAGTAGAATGTAGAGGGGTTATTTTAACAGAGACTGTTAAATGCAATAGCATTCTCCAAATTCATAAGTGAAGATATCACATTTAATCAAATCTTTGGTCAATACACCAACATTGCTTTTTCCTTTAAACCAATCTTTGTTGACTAGTACAATGTGTCCGGTATGTGCTACTTTGCATGTATTTTTTTTAAGCTTCAAAACAAGTTTATAAGGTTCACATAGTTATAATTGTTGTTATAGCAATTAGGAAATGAAGTCTTAGAAAATTAAGGTAATTTGATCAAAGTCTTACAGCTATTAAGTGACAGAGCTTTACCTAAAGGCTTTATGCATTGTTACACAACCCAAAGTCAAGAACTGGAAGTCACGTGATGAATTTTTTAAAGTTTTTATTCATTTACTTTGAGAATGAGAGAGAGGGAATGTGCAACCAGGGTATGGGCAGAGAGAGAAGGAGACAGAATCCCAAGCAGGCTCCACACTGTCAGCACAGAGTCTGAGGGGGAGCTCAAACACTCAAACCGTGAGATCATGACCTGAGCTGAGATCAAGAGTTGGATGTTTAACCAGGCACCCCTGGAAGTCACGTGATGAGTTTAAATCATGGAGACCAAAGTTCTAGAAAACTTGAAAGCAATGCCTACCTGATTTTTGGCTGTCTACAAAATTTGTCATTAACTGACTAGTGTGTACCAAAAATTCTTGGCCATGTTTTTCTTGTTCATTAAAGCTCTTTTGTGAAGGTAAAATCACCACCTTTAACACCTGTGACTATACCCAAGTATTCCCACAGTCTCAATGATTGAAGCCTTAAATTAGAATTAAAAAAAAAAACTTAATTCTTTTGACTCATATGAAATTGGGGAAGAAAGTCTATCCTGGCACACCTCTTTAAAAATATTAATAATTTGGGGCACCTGGGTGGCTTAGTCGGTTAAGCGTCCGACTTTCGCTTAGGTCATGATCTCGCAGTTGATGGGTTCGAGCCCCGCGTTGGGCTCTGTGCTGACTGCCAGCTCAGAGCCTGGAGCCTGTTTCAGTCTGTGACTCCCTCTCTCTCTGACCCTCCCCTGCTCACGCTCTCTCTCTCTCTCTCTCCTAGAAATAAAATAAAACATTTAAAAAAAATTAAAAAAGTAAAAATATTAATAATTCATTTTGTATTATTGTATATCTTACCAATATTGCTGGTATAAAATTAACTGAAACGTGAGTTATGGTAGAATATAATGCTGACTATCATTGTCAATATGCAAACATCATATTCTTTTAAATAGCAGGAAGACAAATGTATCAAGAATGGAAAATAGGGGTGCCTGGCTGGCTCCATCAGTTGTGTCTGACTCTTGATTTCAGCTCAGGTCATGATCTCGAGGTTTGTGGGATCGAGCCCTGTGTCAGGCTCTGTGCTGACAGTGCAGGGCCTGCTTGGGATTCTCCCTCTGTCTCTCTCACTCTCTCTCTTTCTTTCTCTCACTCTCTCTACCCCTCCCTCACACTCACTCACATGCTCTCTCAAAAATAAATAAATAAACATTTTTTTAAAAGAATGGAAAATAAATCCTTGTGTATTTAAACATTTAAAAAATGTTTTAGTTTCGGGGCGCCTGGGTGGCTTAGTCGGTTAAGCGTCCGACTTTCGCTTAGGTCATGATCTCGTGGTTCGTGGGTTCGAGCCCCGCGTCACGCTCTGTGCTGACTGCCAGCTCAGAGCCTGGAGCCTGTTTCAGTCTGTGACTCCCTCTCTCTCTGACCCTCCCCTGCTCAAGCTGTCTCTCTCTCTCCTAGAAATAAATAAAACATTAAAAAAAAAAAAGTTTTAGTTTCTTCACATGCAGTCATAAAAGGTTCATGGCCGATATGCCTGGACAGTCGGCCTATCTCACATTTTCAAAGTGAGCCACATGGCAGGCACTCAGAAAAAAACAGTTATAATGTGCTGGGACCAAAACAAGACATCTCTAATTCATCAGCCACCTAAACTGTCCTTTAAGTCAGCCAATGAGAGGTTAGCTGTGGGAATTGGAATCTTGTTTTGTGGAGCACCCTTAAAAGCAAAGTGAGTTCTTAACATAACGCTTAGTTCGCAATGCTGGCATCAATTGCATCTGAGCTTACCATGTGGCAAGGTCAAATAATTTTCTGTTCAGACAGTATTTGTGATGACACAGTTATTAAAACATAAAACCATACAAACCCCAACCATCAAAACCTACCCAGAAGGATGAAACAAAAGGGGAAGAAAAATCAAGGAGCTTTTAAAAAAACAAAACAAAACCCTAAGACACCTTAGAAGGACTTATCCTTTATCATCCAGTCTCTGAACAGGAAGCAAGGATAATGGCCTTCAGGAGGTTAGTATCATCAAAACCTCTTCTTACTGGTTGGAAGCATCCAACCACACTATTTTATCAGCTCAAGATAGTACTACCAGATAATAAAACTATTATTTAAATAAATTTTTCATGTTTATTTTATTTACCTTTGAGAGAGAGGCAGAGACAGAGACAGAGTGTGAGTAGGGGAGGATCAGAGAGAAAGGGAGACACAGAATCCAAAGCAGGCTCCAGGCTCTGAGCTGTCAGCACAGAGCCCCACCTGGGGCTGGAATTCAGGAACCCTGAGATCATGACCTGAGCCAAAGTCAGACGCTTAACCGTCTGAGCACCCAGGTATCCCATAAAACTATTTTTTTTACATAGAACTGAAAATTAGTCACATCAGAAAGTTATGCACTTACTCAACCACTTTGCTTAGGTCCAAATAGTGAACTACTGACCTGTACCCAGTCCTATTTTCACTTTGTGTTTCATGACCTCAAGGACATTGAGAAAGCCGCTGCTGAGCCTGTAGAGAGAGGAGAGAGGGAGGACAAGGAGACCCACGTGTTTCCAATAAAGAAGGGACACCAACAGTACAGATGGTGATTTCACTAAACTTGTTTCCTGTCATATCAGCTCTCATGTTAGTACAAACCCAATAGCCAAATCAGATCATCTGAGCCCCGGAGTAAAATTCATAATCATAAAGGATCTTTAATTCTGGGGTTGAAGTTAATCTCAAGAGGATACAAAGCAGCAAGAAGCAGAAGGGAAAACAGGGGCATCATTTGTAAGGAAAAATAAATGAAGAAATTCAACTTTGCAGTTAGTGCAAAAGTCTTATTGGTCTTCAATGTGTTTTGTTTTGTTTTGTTTTGAACCAACTCATTCTTCTATGTTAAGAAGCAGAAATTATAAAGCATCGTCTTTCCTCTCTGGAGTAATTTGTTACCCTGGATGAGTAGTGACTTGCAAGATCAGAGAAAGGGGGTACCAGGGAAAAGGGGGTGCAGGCTGATGAAGTCAGGGCCTGACTGTTCACAGGCTGCCGTTGAGGACTGCAGAAACCAGGAAAGAAGGTTCTAGGGGGAATTCCAGACATTATGCATTGTGCAAACTCACACATTTTAAGAGATGCTGTGTTCCTCAAATGCATACTCTGCAAAAAATGTCCTCATTTGAGTGCTCTTTCTCTCCACTAAGGCACAGGGAAATGTCTGTGTGTCTTAACTGCTTCCTGTCCCAATCAACTATAACTCTAGAAGAGAGATACTAAAGAGATGACTGAGAAAACGAAGGTGTATTGGACTGCTAATTCGCACCCCAAATGCTCACAGGCTACCGGCCGGTTATTGGCTACTTACGATAAGTTAGAATTGGGGCAATGTGAGAGCGCGGCTCCTCGCTCCTGGAACACTTGTAGTTCTTCTGAAGAAAGGTAGCAGCCGTGCGCCATTACTGTCTGGAGAGAAGAGCACCCTATGTGGAGCTTACCACTTCAAAAGTTTTCAGTTAGTCTTTACTCACAGCAAGATGTCACAGGGACACACAGACACTGTGACTTGGCTTGTCTTCACAAAAGCATTTATGATTCCTTGTACATATAAAATCCCTGTACTAGGTACCCCTCAAAACAGGCCCCCCAAAACATTGGATTACGCAAGGCTCCACAAATTCTGTGGCTCTTGCTTTTTTCTTTTTTTAATCTATAAATCAACGAAGGTCCAGGTTATTGGCTGTATAGGAGATCCACTCAAAGATACTATAATGGCTTCATCTCTACCTTAAGAAGACAGCCAAGTTATTTCATTTTCTAATTCTACGTGGGAGCAACTGGTGGGGCTGTGCTTGTTCCCATCCTAATCAGAGCTTTCTAGAAGTAAGCTTTCCTTTGTCAGCACAAGGAAGCTCTGGGTGTAATCCTGGAAACCATTGTTCTTTATTTCTGCTCCTAGTTAAATATAGACACAAAGCTCTTGATGCATAAAATGATATAATCTTTATTTATCTATTTTAAGTCTTTAAAAAATTTTTTTAATGTTTTTTATTTATTTCTGAGAGAGAGAGAGGCAGCAAGAGCAGGGGAGGGTCAGAGAGAGAGGGAGATACGGAATCCACAACAGGCTCCAGGCTCTGAGCTGTCAGCACAGAGCCCAACACAGGGCTCGAACTCATGAACCATGAGATCATGACCTGAGCTGAAGTTGGACGCTTAACCAACTGAGCCACCCAGGTGCCCCAATTTACGTCTTTTTAAAAAAAAATTGAAGTACAGTTTACATGACCAAATAAACTTTGTTTTATCACCTATATTTACGTGTTCACAAAATTTAGGAAACGTAATATCTTATAAGCATTAATGTGGAAGTTAAAATAAATCAAAGAAGGCAGGCAATGCACACACACACAGAAGAGGTTTCTGTTTAGTCCTGGTAATTTGTGGGTTTTCCTGAATAGGGCTTCCCTCTTTCTTGTGGCATATAGACATACAGACACATACAATGGAATATTACTCAGCTATAACAAAGGATGAGATCGGACCATCTGTGACAACATGGATGGACCTAGAGAGTATTATGCTAAGTGAAATAAGCCAGACAGAGAAAGACAAATACCATAGGATTTTACTCATGTGTGGCATATACAACAAAGAAAAATGAATAAGCAAACAAAACAGAAGCAGAATCAGACCTGCAAACGCAGAAAATAAACAGAGAGTTGCCAGAGGGAAATGTATAGGGGGAGGGGCAGAATGGGTGATGGGGAGTGGGAGACACAGGCTTCCAGGTCCGGGAGATGTCATGGAAATAAAAGGCACAGCACAGGGAATGCAGTCAATATATACAAGTCCTATAATAGCATTGTGTGGTAACAGGTGGTAGTGACACTTGTGAGCACAGCATAACATATAGCAAAGTTGAATCACTACATTGTATACCTGAAGTTAATGTGACATTGGGTGTTAACTATACTCAAGTTTTAAAAAATTAAAATTATTTAAAAAAAATTTTTTTACTGTTTTATTTATTTCTGAGAGAGAGAGAGAGAGAGAGAGAGTGAACAGGGGAAGGTCAGAGAGAGAGGGAGACAAAGAATCTGAAGCAGGCTTCAGGCTCTGAGCCAGCCATCAGCACAGAGTCCGATGCGGGGCTCGAACCCACGAACCATGCGATCATGACCTGAGCCAAAGCCGGAGGCTTAACCAACCGAGCCACCCAGCCGCCCCCAAAAATTAAAATTTAAAAAAAGGGCTTTACTCTTTCAAAATTCTTATTCCTTCCGTACAAAACCTGTTTCCAAATAGCTTTCTCTTTGGGGAGGCACAGTCCTGTGACCACAGAATTATTAATAAAATAAAATGTTCTCAAGCTCTGTGCAAATAAAATTAACATGCAAATCGAAGGCTAATGTATTAATCACATGGAAATATATGTAGAGAAGGATGAAGATTACGGTGTAGCATTTAAAGACCTACGTAAGGGATTAATCTTTTAGATTAGTCACATTGGGCCCTCTGCTCACACAGTCCCAAAGAATTTATTTGCTGCGGTAGTTAAACTCTCCATGCACTGTGTACAATTCATTGAAGGCCAAGGCCAAAGGGTATACTGTGTAATGAAGTCTCTTCTCACTATATTAATCTAAATTAATGTAAAATTATTTAATTACGAAAGTAATATACACTCATTTTTTAAAAAAAAAAAAAAAGCAATACCAGAGTGTTTAAAAATAAAGAAAGTCCATCTGTCTTCTCCCTCAGGAGGATCACTTTTAACATTCAGTGTTTGTATTCCAGATAATTTTTTTCTAACTGAGCATGCTACCCACATATATGTACACAAACGTCAAAATGATACTATGCAAAGATTCTTCTTTGTAAGCCTGGATATATCATTCTTGTAAATGTTGGGTAAAATATTAATGATGGATGTTCTATAATCTAAACAATCCTCCACTGATAGATATTTTCTAACTTTCACATTAATTAACATTCCTATTCTATCCCTTACAGAATGGATCCTTAGAAATGAATCTGCTAACTCAAGGGAATGCACATTTATATTCTAACAGATACTGACAAAATGTCCTCAGACCAAATCACCTAGCTCCCCTCAAAGAAGCCTTTAGGTTTCTTTACAGGGATGAAACTTCAGGTCATTTTTAACTATACACCCACATATGCACGTGCTCTGAGTTTCACTCTAGTTTGGGAAATGTACATGTGTTGTAGAAGTCTGAAGATTTCTATTGAGATTTTATTTTATATTTTCATTTTTTCTCTGCTGCTTTGCACTATGGAGATTTTATTTTATTAATAGTATTAATTTTTTTATTTGAGAGAGAGAGAGCAGAAGGAGAAAGAGAGAGAGAGAAAGAGAGAGAGAGAATCTTAAACAAGCTTCATGCTTAGCGCAGAGCCCAACATGGGGCTTGATCCCACGACTCTGGGATCATGACCTGAGCCAAAATCAAGAGTCAGATGCTCAAATGACTGGATCGCCCAGGTGCCCCTGAGATTTTAACATGTAGATAAATATGTCCTACTGTACACACATTATGTCACGATATGCAATGTACCTTATTTGTCAGAAGATTGTTTCTGTCATACACATCTGTGTAGTTTTTATAATCGGGAAATAAGTTCTGCACAGCTGCGACTTCACTGGAGTTTTCACTTATATGGCTCTACAAGAGAAGAAATAATATTTTCAATTTTCTAATGTAAAAATACCCTCGGAAATTATACTTCCTACCCAAAATGATAAGGAAGTTTCTACTTGCCTATGTAAGACCATGAAGACTGTACATGTGTTCTATCGAAAACAATGTATATATCATATATAATATCTGTATGAAAAAGAAACTATGACTATGTCATTACATGAGCATGTAATGTTCTAACCCCTAACCCTAGGCCAATGTTATGTTCTCTCAATGAGGTCTTTTCAAATCCCCTGTTATTTTAAGAACAAATAGACGTAAAAAGTTCTTGAAGAGAGTCAAGAGCCTAGCTATCTGTGGCAATTTGCTTCTTCTGGTGTTAGGTGTTTAGGAAAAGAGTTTAGTGGCCATAAAAGGACAGACAGCATGGTTCACTCATGAGAAAATTTGAATTTGAACAAGGAGAGCTGAATGTTAGCCCAAGTTCTGAGCCTAGTTATGTGTCTTAGGGTGAGTCAGCTACTTCCTTTGGCCTCCAGATTCTCATCTCTCAGATATGAGGGTTGTGCTAAATGAGTGATTTTCCAAACTCTCGCAGCTTTGAATAAGTTATTCATATAAAAATTCATAGAAATCCAATATGCAAAGGGCATAAGCAAGGAAGAAGTATAGCTTTGGGATTCTGGAAACCTGTCCTCATTCTGTCCCTTTCGTCACCTTCCAGAATGAGCTCCTGTGCAGAAAATGGTTTGACAATAACTGAGCTAGACAATCTTGCAGTCATCAAAAAAAAAAAAAAAAAAAAAAGAGCCCATAAGGATCCACATGCAATCAAAACAAGTGAGTCCTGGCCCCCACACCAAACTTCCTCCAGAGCATCACAAACCCAGGAGGGCAGAAAGTGTTTTTGAGACACAACACTTACATGCAGTCACCTCACCCTCTAGCTTAGAACAAAAATCACTCCAGACCAACCGGTGATGAGTTCGTATTATGGGAAGAAAACTCATGAACAAGTTGCCACTTACGAGAATGGCAATGCCATTTTCCTTCTCCATGAAGTAGAGTGTAAGTCAAGTAAATAAAAGAAAAAATAACAATGTTCTAAAAATAGAGTATTCTGCCTAGAGGGTGAGCTCTATCCTGTCATTGAGGAAACTTAGACCACTGAAGAAATGCCTGGGCATCCAAAGAGAAAAAGGGACAAGCACATGATTCATGTCATTGTAATAAATTTGATGAAATGCTAAATTCACATGCACACCTACATACATCCCCAGCAAGGATATACTTGATTTGGTTGTGTGTTCATGGAGGTCAGGACACACTACCCCCAATTGTGGCACTGTGGCATACTGTATATTTTAAGCTGAAGGAAAATAGCTGCAGTAGGAAGGTCACTCTGACCTTCCTCCACCCTTCTTTCCTGAAATAGGTCATAAAACTCTTGTAGGAGGGGTGCCCACCCTCTACTTGGAGAAAAGAAGCACCCTTAGCTCTGAAGACAAAAGGTTCCCTGGGAGAACCCAAACCAACGATCATATTCCTCGATGACTGTGCACTCGTCACCGAACCTAGCCTAGAAACGCTCTGGTCTCTTTCTTTGGGTTTTCATTTCCTTATGAAGGCTACCGCATCATGTAAAGCTTAGATTAAATACATTTGTATGGTTTTTTTTTTTCTTTTTAACCTGTCTTTGTCAATTTAGTTTTCAGATGTGGCCAGGGACTCTAAGAAGGTTAAGGAAAGCTTCTTCCTCCCCTACAATTATGCGGGATTGAATAAAAAATACAAATATCACAGTCCACAAAACATGGGGGCAAGATAAGAATAGTTAATAAGCCCTAACACAATAAATCTTATTAAAACGAAACAGAATATCCGCCACTCTGATAAAGAATCAGTGTGTTGCCTTTCCCTTACCTTGCCTGTTGTTATAAGATAGTCACCTCTTAAGAGGGAAAATTGGAGTGCAGTATGTAATGAAGCTTGGATGCGTGAAGGGGAGCTTGCAACTCCCAGTTTTAACCTAGCTGGAAGCTTTAAAAAATGTTTTATTCCTAAATTGCAACCGTTTAATGACAAAGTAAGATATACTTTTTTTGTTCCTGGTTTCAAATTAAGAAACTCAGAACAAAAGGGCTCTTAAATGCATTTTTGTAAGGTAGAAATTAGGTTCTTTTTGCTTCTCAAATAATAGGTGGTTCTTCCCCAAAATCAAGGATTAGAACACTGACAAAAGTACCAAATAAAAGACGGAAGTAGGAAAGAAATGCATTAAATCCATCCTACAGAGAACAGGTAACCAGCGTGTCCTTGGTTACTTATGATGTCCTTTTCACTCCAAGCCTGATCGGAGAAGACCAAGGCTAAAAGGAACTTCAAGTTTCTCACCTGAGAATTGAAAGAAGTGGATCTAGGTGATGTCTGTAAGAGCCCTTCCTGTGCTAGGATGCTATTTCTCTAGGAGATCTCAGGAGAAGAATTGGAGATTACTGCAAGAATTTTAGGGTACTGAGAAGTCTTGCAGGTTTGGACAGAGGCACAAACAGGGGGGAAAACCCACCTGAATGTGCAAATTATGGGTCTTCGCGAGGTTTCCCAGTTTTCCCAACAAAGTCTCAGAGCAGGAAAGGGAGAAGCGTGGTGTCACTATGGGCTTCACTCTAGAATACTGGAAGAAATATAAAAAGCAATTAGGAAACCATGGACATCATGAGTGTGTAGCATACCCTAACATGCATATCACACACACATAATTTTCTGTCTTCATTTTGGGGGACAGTCTCCCATTCTAACAGCAGGTGGAAGTACTGGGTTTCATGGAGATGGCTCATGACCGACGACAATGGAGTGAAGATTCTATACGACCAAGTTCAATGGAAGAAGATTCTGTCCTAAATGACAGACACCCTGAGTCACACATTCACGTGAAGGCTCAGACAAGGCCTGGGGAGGGTGGCCTTCATGAAGAGAAATGGGAAGCAGAAGAACATCTAAAGGGGGGGCCACTGGGGAGACTAAAAGTGAGCTGGAAGCCTATTCGCCACCTACATCTTGAGGAGGCGTGCTGGCCATGGCCTCCCTCAGGACATTTAGCGGCAGCATTGGCTCTGACATCACCCAAGGTAAAGGCTGAACAGCAGAGAAGGGCTCAGAGAGCAGGAGGGAAGGTGGGGATCCAGAAGGATGCCCATAGGTCTCCCAAGATTAGATTGAAAGTAATGGGTATCTCGGGTTTTCAATCAGACTTCAAAAGATGGTAAAGGAACTAGTGTGCCAATCTAAGAGATTGCACAATGGAGCTAAGAACCAGCATGCTGGGGTCGGGGAAGGAAATAGCACTGCCTCCAAAGCTCACCAACACCAGGGCACTGCAAAGAGGAGGGTCTGTCTGAACTCCCGCCAGCCATGTGACATGCCACGCCCTAGGTACCAAGGCAGCCAATGAGTGGGTATCAGGGTGACACTGCCTCCGCTTCAGACCAGATCAGGGAGTACCAGAGGCCAGAGCCAATGTTGAGGGAGTCAGCTTCCAATTTTTACCAATCTGTTCAATCCATGAAGCCCACCCCTACGTCCCCAGGGACTAGTCCTGTGAGATTAAAAGGTTCTAGAGAAGAGGAAGGGAAAACCACGGAGAAGACAAAAAAGCCTGACCTCGCAGAGCTGGCTTGATGGCTCCACCGTAGGAACAATTTACGGCTCTGGAAAAATATTTCTGCACACGTGGAGTAAGCCACACACGCACAGACTAATCTTTACCAAACAACTTAATAACACATCTTACAAATAACACAAAGGCAATCCAAAACCAAGCTGGGAACAAGCTTACTTACGTTCTTTTGGAGCATTCTCGACACAAATCTGAAATAAAGCAACAAATGGAAAATTAGAACATTTTTGGCATTTTAAAATATGCTTTTAAAACTGGTACAAACACAATCCCCGCGTGTCCTTATTTCCATACAAACATTTCTAACGCTATACATGTTTTACCACCAGTGATTAAAGATTCACAAGTAGTAATTACTCTGCTTTCTCTTTTGCGGCCAGAGAGATGGAGCGCAAAATCACAGGGGACTGCCGTTTTATCATCGAACGTCAGCTGGGCTGTTCGTTCCCACAGCACTGAGGCCATTCTGCTGGCTTACGCTCTATTTGGGGGAATAGTGTAGGATGTTATGCTCCTTGGATTTTAGGGTCATGGAATCCTTGCACCTGGAGGTGTTTGGAAGCCATAGGGCTCTCTCCTCCTAATTTTCCTTTATAGAATGAAAGCTGCCTTCTCACACATCATCATTCATTTCCAAAGGCCGAGGCCTCCTGGGTGCAGATGTTGGAGTAAGGCAGAAGCCATAGGCCAGAGGTGGCTGTGAAATGGGGGCAGGGGACACCAGATGGGATGGGGGTGACAATCTTACCCATCGTATCTGCAGGGATGGTAGTATCCGTAGGGTCTATGAAATAGCTATTTGTGCCCTCGCTGAATATATTTACTAGCTGGCTTCCTGCCTTCTGGTAGTCCTTTGTTTTGGAATAAAATGTAGATTAAGGTTTTCTGTGATCAAAAACACAGATCCATAGAAAAGTTCAGCATATGGCCAACGATAAAAGGCATGTTTCATTCTTTCTGTGAGCAGGTGACAGTTCCTAAGCCACCCTTTTCAGAGGACACATTTAAGGTGGAGGAAGTGTGGAAGTGGGGAAAAATTGGGCTTCTAAAACTTGCATCAGGATAGGTTAGGTCCTGGGGGAGATTTGAATCTACGGAATCTTCTTCTAGACTTCTTGGATGTTGAGAGTCATACAACACAATTCCTTGTCAAACCAAATCCACAAGGGAGTATGGAAAAGCCATTAAAGAAATGTAGATAAAGTGCTTTGGGGATCCATAGACTATCTCAAGGTAATCTAAAAAGAACAGGACAAAACCAGGCAAGAGGAAGACCCACAACCAAAAGTAATCTAATAGGCAGACCACAGACCTTAAAGCAAGTTCAATTTACGGAAGCCTCCGTGTATTATAAAGGAGAGGGGAGTGGTAAATCATTTTAAAAAGAATCTTTCATTTCACAAAGGGGTCCACCCTAGGACTTCTGTAATGAGTTCACAGGGGCTCCAAAATAGTATTGACATGCAATATTTTCTTTAGGACCAGACCAACTACATAAAGTGAGGCAAACCCACACAGTGACTGACGCATGTGTGTACCCGCCTGGGTGGCAGAGGCTGCCTCCATCGTTTCTGCAGAGGGGCTGCCCACAAGGCAAATCAAGATGAATATACCTCTCTGTTTCCTCAATCGATCCCTCAGTGGTCTCCTTGTATTCGGGAACAGTAGCGTTCATATCCATGCAGACTTTGCCCACAAATGCCCGCTGCCCAAATTTATCTGAGAGGCACACACAAACAGAATAGGAAGTCATTCTTTTTCTCCCAAAGAGTGTCTTTCCTGAGCCTCTAGAGAAGATCTCTCAATTAAAATCAGTATGAAAGCATAAGTGAGAGTGCAAACGATCATCACACCACTTACGAACGATAACAGCCACGATAATACCACACTAAATTCTGTAAGCAGTTCAAGGTCTTCCGCTGACTCCTCGTTCCTTGGCTTACTACCAAGTCGGCAATGATGTCTGATGACGCTCTAAACCTGTATGTGCCCAGTGTCCTCTGCTGTATATAGGGTGATGAGAATACACCCAACAATGTCTACAAAGCGTGTGGCACATAGGGCTCAGAAAAGATACTGCCACTTTTCTTAGCTGTGGCAATACTATCATCAGTGGGGAATTTGACTTAGTGCTACTAGCAGCTCTCAGCACTAAAGAGCCTAGTCCTCATTAGAGGTGCTAGAGAAATTTTATTTTAGTTAGAACATTGAAGCTACGTGGGGGTGGCATTAAATTTTTTTTTTTACAATGTCCATCCTCAGAGTCTTGCAGAAGTCTTTTTGCCTCTCTTTCCCCTGTAATTCATTTTAATACCTGGCCATTATATTATTCATCCCTAAAACTCCACCTTCGTCAGATATCCCATCTGACTTAAAATCTTTGAGTAGCTGATGCACGTATGAACCTCTCCATAGTCTGAAGTATCCCATCTGCCCCACCTCCTCTCTCACCCTGCCTGGCAATGAATCCTGGCCTCCAGTTCAGCTACTCTGTTCCCTGCTTCCGGTATCCACGATGATGTTCCTGTTCCCACGCCTTTGTCCATGTCATTTTCCCTGTTGGGAAGACATTTTACTTTCTCCCCATTTTATGTCCCTTTGCACCCCATTTAAAGGTCCCTTCCATGAATTCTTTCCAGATAATCATCATTTTCCCTGTTGGGAAGACATTTTACTTTCTCCCCATTTTATGTCCCTTTGAATCCCATTTAAAGGTCCTTTCCATGAATTCTTTCCAGATAATCTAATTCCGAGTTTTCTCTTTCTCCTCCCAAAGTGGCAATATATGTTTTCAGTGCTACCCTTTAGGCCTCCGGCATAAACTACCTTAGCCACCAGGCAGAAGCATCAGCGCACCAGGCAGGGATATTTACTGAGTATCTGCTATATTCTGAGCACTGTGCAAGGTACAAATTTTGGAATCACTAATCTAAATCCGGTCTCCTTTCTACATACTGGCTGTATAACTTGGGCATGTTACGTCCTCTGAGCATCAGTTTATCCATCTGTAACATGAGGACATTAATGACTACTTCCAAGGGCTATTTGCAACTGAGCTGAGATAATCCACATAGAGTGCTTTGTGTGAGGCCAGGCATATAGCAAGAGCACAGTAGCTACAGTTATTAATTAATGTGTGTAGCTATTAATCACTTAATCCTGTCTGGCTCCTCAAGGGCAGAGGCGATTTTCTATTTCATTGTATTCTCAGCATCTAGCACAGTGTCCGAAGTCTAGCCAACAGCCAAGACAGCATCTGCAGATTATAATATAATAAACCGTTGCCACAGTGAGAATTCATACCCCTGTTCCAAAATGCCCTAAATTAATACAAAAACCTTAGCCCAGTACACACCACTCTGAAACCAAAACCGTAAGTAAATAATTAAATTACTTAAACAATAAAAAACACTCAAGGGCCATACACAAACACCTAATTGCTTGCAAGAAAGGCACTGTTCAAATTCCAGCAATGAAAAGGCAGGACTGCCCACAAGGGTAAGTCATTGCCGGACATGGTCTAACTGTCTTGGCCTGACATGCCCATAAATCATGCTTTCATTTCCTCACCTATAATTTCTGCGAGGAGCAGAGATGAGTCAGTGTGAATTGTTCCAAAGTAACAGGCTGTGGTTGTTCCATTCTTTAGTGTTCTCCTCTAAAAATAAATCACAAAACCATGAATCGCGTGCGTCCAGAGGAGTCTATGGCAGATAAAGAAGAAAATAGAATTCTAGTTTTTAATTTTAAAATGTTTTCATTTAAAGGTATGCCATCTTGATATGAAATACAGTTAAGGTAAATGGCAAAAGTATTTATATTTCACAGGTGTGAACTGGAGGAGAGGCTGGTACTTTTGATTTCCTAGATTCACACAGTTCTGTGTTACAGAATTCACAAAATGCAATACTAATTAATTCTTTGTTTTTTAGGATTATTTAAGGGTATCCAAACTTTATTGCATCAAGGGGTGTAAGTGAGATTTTTCTACCTGTAAGAGGGCGAAAGTCATCAGCCAGATTTCTAGTTCAACCTGGCAGATTGGTCACATGTATTTACTCCCTTCCTTAGCGAATTTCCACTACACTAACAGTAAAGGAGTATAAAATTTATTAACACACAAGAAAGAGACATGAGCAGAGGAAACATTTCTACATCTTCCTAGAAACCAAAAAAAAAAAAAAAAAAAAAAAAAGGGTGAGAACCTGGAGGTGGCTTTGGAAGGAGGCAAGAAGCATGGAGCCGTTAAGAGAGAATGGGCTGATAGTCTGTATACGGAAGATTAAATTCTGGCAGGACCCTTCTCCCCCTTGTTGAAATCAGCCAACCACCCAACCTGATCCTTGCAGGAGATATTTACTCTTGCAGAAACTGAGTAGTATTTGCACCCAATGCTGCAAGGTATAGTAGACTGAAGCATTTTAAGTGGATAATCTGGCTGAGCCAAGGATCACGGGATCCTTGGCCATCTCCCCCCAGAATGTCACATACGCAACTCCTATCACCCCTGGAAGGACTGAAGAACTCTTTCCTAGAGAAGATGAACGGTTCTAGAAGGAAGATATCCTCACAATGGCATTTGGGGCCCACAGTTGGAAAGGCCATTCACTGTCTTCGCCGTCCATCCTAGAATGAAGTTCACCAGTCACCAGGTGCTACTTCCCATCCAGACTTCCAATCAGAATCTTAGAGTATCACACTTAAATATGAAATGTATGTTTGAGGTTCAACAGACACTTGAGGAAAGCTACTATAAAAAAAGAGGAGAAAAAAGAGCAAAGAATCTGGGGAAAAAAATCTAAGAGGAAAGAGGCAATCTATAAGGTCAAAATGAAGTTTGATTTTTAAAAAAATCTAGGGTGCCTGGATGTTTCAGGCCATTGAGTGTCTGACTCTTGATTTTGGCTCAAGTCATGATCTCATAGTTGGTGATATGAAGCCCCATGTTGGGCTCTGTGCTGACACAATGGAGCCTGTTTGGGATTCTCTCTCTCCTTCTCTCTCTGGCCCTCCCCCACTCATGCACTCCGTCTCTTTCTCTCTCAAAATAAATAAATAAACTTAAAAAAATAAATACGGAGCACCTGGGTGGCTTAGTCAGTTAAGCGTCCAGCTCGACTCAGGTCATGAGTTCAAGCCCCTCATCAGGCTCTGTGTGGACAACTCAGATTCTGGAGCCTGTTTCAGATTCTGTGTCTTCCTCTCTCTCTCTGCCCCTCCCTGGCTCATGCATATGCACACACTCTCTCTCTCAAAAAAAAAAAAAAAAAAAAAAAAAACATTAAAAAATAATGAAGAAAGAAATAAAAATCTATGATCAACATTCTCAATGAAATAAAAGAATATATTGCATCCAGAAAACAAAAACAGAATGCTATGAAAATCAGAGAACAAGAGCTCTCCAACAGTAAAGATTTTATAAATGAAATTTGAGAGTCAATAAAAGGTTTGTATGATAAATTAAAAAAGAACCTCTCAGGGGGAAAATATTTTGCATTTAAGATAATAAGGAAGAACATGCCATATTTTAACAGCCTCCTTTATCTTCAGCCAATTGTTGAAAAACAAAAAAACAAAAAACAAGTGAGAGCCCAGTGACATTGGTTAATCCCAAAGGTTGAGAAAATTGGGAAATTTGGATTTTTATGTCAATCTTTTCAGATTAAGACACTTTGCATGTGAAATAAAATGTGTTTGGCTGACAGAGATGTTTAGAGACTGTTGTCAGCTACAGATAAGGATAAACTCTCTATCAGAATCACAAATCCCGGAAAAGGGTAATATCATGACAGAGACATTGAATTCAATCTCTAACAACTAGAAAAGTGCCTGAATTTGAGTTTGTGCTCATTAAAAGTTTGTTGAATGAATGCCCGAGGTAGCTGAATTACTAAGCAACAAGAGATATAAAATGAACTAAAATTAGCATCCTTAGGTGGATAGGATAAAACATTTTATCCTTGAAAGAGAAATGGGCCATTAATGATTTGCAAAATTGGGCCACAGCATTCTCTATGAACATAGCACAAAAGAGACATGAAAGTATATGAAGATGTTTCAATATTTTTCTAACAGGAGTCATCAAAAGAAAAGTGTAGACTGGAGGAAAGCATATATGAGAAGGGAGAAGAGGAAGGTGGGTGGGAGGAGGGAAGAAATTTCCCAGAATGGAAGAAAGACAGGAGTTCTCATATTGAAAGAACTACATATTAAGGAGAATGAACTGAAAGAGAGATGTATATGTGAAATCTCAGAACATCAAGAATGAAGGGAAAATCTTGAAGGCCAGCAAATTAGCCAGAAAGGAATGCATGTCAGATTGACACCAGCCCATTAGATGCTGGTGGGAAAATCATTTTAAACAGAATTCTCTCCACAGCTAAATTAGTGCATCATTCAAGAGTCATAACAAAGTACAACCATTTTTAGTAATTCAAGGATTTGGAAGGCTTATCACCCGCCTTACTGGAAACGATTATCAGAAGATAATTCTTCAAGAAAATGAAACATGAATAGGAAAGGAAGACAGGGATCCAAGAAGCACAAGAAAAAGTAAAGCGCATTGTTAAATTAAGTACAGATGTTCAAAAATAAAGTGGAATTAAATTTTAAAATGCTAAATTTAAAAGCTAAAGTTTATTTCAAATTAAGTATAGATAGTGGAAAAAAATAAACTGGAATCAAAAGCTCATGATAGAACATAGGATGTGGTGAGGGGGAGAGAGGAAGAAAGGAGAGTCATATAAGGTACTTGTCTTCTTATAGGGAAGAATATACTGAAAAATGATAGAAGACTTGTCTAACACTCTTAACAACTTAGTCTTATAGAGACATTAAAATGTCATATTGACAAAGAACACATAATTTTTTTTAAAAAATGTGCAGGGAGCACCTGGGTGGCTCAGTCAGTTAAGTGCCAGACTTCAGCCTGGGTCATGATCTCACAGTTTGTGAGTTCAGGCCCCGCATCAGGCTCCTGATGACAGTATGGAGTCTGCTTGGGATTTTCTCTCTCTCTCTCTCTCTGCCCCTGCTCCACTCTCTCTCTCTCTCAGAATAAATAAACTTTAACAAATAAAATAATATAAAAAATTGGAAAGAATAATCATAAAAAATGGACCTTTTGCTGGGTCAGAAAATAAAGTGAATTAACTCCTGAGAAAAAAATTCACGCAAGTTGCACACACTAGAAGAAAATGAAACTCAAGATGAAAACAAGTGTAATCTAACATTTTGTAAATTCCCAAAAGTTTACACCCCTTTCTAAAAAGTTGGTTTGAAGATGAAATCACAATTGTTGGCTCATCAGCAAGAAGGACAATGGAAACACCACACAGGCACCCATAGCAAGACCTTCCTCTGACTCAGGGGGAGAAAGCTATTCACAAGAGGAGAAATTGCACTAGAGGATTCAAATTTGACTGGATCAAACTGGAAAGTTCAAGAATCTCCCCAAATTATAGTTAAGGAACAGGACAGGGAGAACCCACAAAAGGAAAAAAGAAAAAGCTGGAGGGAGAGGAGGATAGAAAGAACCCCCAAGTGACTACTGCTTGTTCACACTGAGTCCAGCCCAATGAACTAACCAGCCACATGGGTGTGCCTTATGTAATTGAAAGAAGTAAGAATTTGGCTTTAAAACCTCATTGGAGAGGCCCTCTAAAATACAGCTACTTACCTTTTTCATTTGTTCTATATTTGGGCACCCCGGACTCAACTCCACCCTAGTTTCTCATAAGCTTTCAAGAGGGCTGTTCCATTAGTGATGAGTTTGCATTTTCTCTATTTATAAGAATCTATCAAGAATAACATCAGACTGTGCGGTGTGTTTCTCAATCTTTCCTCAGCCTTCAATTCTTGACAAGAAAGGTTTTGAGGCCAAGATTTTTGAGCTCCAAATTGACTCCAAATTTAGGATGACTACAAACTTCAAGGCTAGTAGCAATGGCCTCTTAACACATTGGATGCTTGGCATTTCCAGGGTGCTGAAATAGGGGGGAAGAGTGACCCCATTCCCTTTCTTTGCACCTTGTACTTTAATGATTTGATACCACTTTGGAATTATTTGGTTTCATTAGCTGGATCTTTGACAACCCCAGAGAATAAGCATCTTCTTTCTATTATCCAGAATTTTTGCAACTAGTTTATCTTGGCACATTTACCAAGGATCTCACCTCCAATGCCTTGACTACAGGTATATAGTATATAGATTACTTAACTTTCTAGAATTTTTAGTTCATTCCGGTCCAATTTAAAACTGTAATATCTCACCCAGGTTGCAGTGGTTAAATTTAGATAGTCTAGGCTTGCTTTAGTGGGATTTCTTTTTCTATATAATCTCAGGAGATGCTTGTATATAATTTATACTTTAAATTATTTGCAGATTGGGGTGCCTGGGTGGCTCAGTCAGTTGAGCATCCAACTTTGGTTCAGGTCATGATCTCATGGTTTGTGAGTTTGAGCTCTGGGTTGGGCTTGGTGCTGACAGCTCAGAGCCTAGTGCCTGCATCAGATTCTGTGTCTCCCTCTCTCTCTGACCCTCCCCTGCTCACGCTGCCTGTCTCTCTCTCAGAAATAAATAAAACATTAAAATTTTTTTTAAAAAGAGATAATATTCATGGAATACTGTCTGAAGGATATATGGTTCTAGATACTCTGTCTAAACATAAAATACAGATACATCTTTTTAAATACTATAGCACCTTCATAATACATATTTTGACAACATAGCATGCATTTATACTAAATATTATTGGAATTAATTTTTAAGGAAATCATTATAAGGAATAGAATTGCTTTACCTTAAGAAATGTTTTATTTTTTATCATATACACAGTGTAAATCACATAACTGATTTCCTTCTCTGGATCAGCAGTTAGAAACTGAAAGCATTCAACTTTAAGTTAATTCATTGAGCTAACTGAGTTAATTCATTCAGCTTTAAGTTACATTCATTGATCAATTCTTAAAAAAAAAAAAAAATACATGGACTCCCCCACCCCCCGCCATGGCATACATTTACCTCTCAGTTTTATTTTATTTTTCTTTCCCCCTCTTTTTCCTTTGCCATGCTTTTGTGACTCACTTGCTTCCATTGTACTCTATGTTATTTTAAGATATCTCAAGCCCTTTCTAGAACAATGGGAAGTATAAATACATTTTGAGGATAGAATGATTTGGTGTGGTTAACACAATTCCTTAGCACAATGCAACGGCAACATCATGCATCGTGTTAATCCTTCTCAGTTTTTCTGGTATCATGAGGATGCTAGCTGAATACATAAGACCCACAATTACACTGAATTTATAATTAAGCAAGTCAAGCGTATAAAGGATAGCACTTGCTTTTACTCCTCCGGGCTTGAATGATGCAAGACCAAGGAACACGGCAAAGTGGGTAGGTAACTGCAGAAGGCTAATGATATAGTCGCCATCACAGAATCATCACTTTAGAAGGAAAACCGTCAGTGGGTCCAACAAAAATGGACGAATGTTCAGTCTAAGTGTGTTGAATGATCAGAGGTTGTGGTCAGATAAGAAGGTATTTGCAGAAGGTATTCTCAACTGCAGAAGCTGTTTCTGGTTGCTGAGTGAATTTGGCATAGGGCTGGAGTAAGAAGAAGGGAACTGACTTCTTTGAGAGTGGAAGGAAGGACATTTTCAGAGCCTTCGTATACAGCTGGTATACAGTACAGCTGCTGCTCAATGACTGAACTAGCTCCCCAGTTCCCTCTAGTGGTGTTAATATTCACCACGTTCCCACATGCCCTGCTATAGGGGGCCACCCTATTTCTCCCACTTTGGAAGCTACTAAGATAATGTGATAGCCTTCTAACTGTAATTTGAAATTTTTATTTTAAATTTCCTTCGGTACTTTTTAAAGCAAACAATATAAAGTGTTTGCCATGTGTCAGGCAGTATCCTAAGACCCTCACGAATATTAACTTATAGCAATTCTATGAAATAGTTACTATCACTATCTCTATTTTACAGATGGGGAAAATGAGTCACAGAACTTTCCAAAGGTTACACAGCTATTCCATATGGTCCCCAGAACAGCACTGTGGATTGGCAGGAACAAGGGAACACACATATGCATTAAACTCAAATTTAGGAATGCAAAAAACACAACAAGTAACAGAGTAAAGAAAGCCCACCCCATCAGGGATTTGGGAACTTGGGTTCAAGTTGTCTCTCTTCTAGGGTTGTTAGCCTGTGTAGATGAGATGATCACAAACTCCTGGGGCTGTGAAAAACCTGAAAAAGTCTCAACAGTCCGTGCAGGCCTTAACTGCTTGTGCTTTATAATTAAAATTTGCCCCCACGATGGGACACCTGTTCAGTCGGTTGAACATCCGACTTTGGCTCAGGTCATGATCTCACAGTTTGTGAGTTCAAGCCCCACGTTGGGCTCTGTGCTGACAGCTGAGAGCCTGGAGCCTACTTCGAAATCTGTGTTTCCCTTTCTCTCTGCCCCTCCCCCGCTCACACACATACTCTCTCTCTCTCTTCCCCTCTCTCAAAAATGAATAAACATTTTAAAAACTTCCCCCAAGAAATGGACCTTTCTACAGGTGATTCAGTCATAACACACCACAACTCACAAGCATGATACTTACGACAACTCTGGTATATATTTCTTCAGCGAAATCAAGGTTCTGGAATTTGTATTCTACAGGAAACGTGTACTTGGTCAACCAGTCCAAAAGCGGAAGGTCTACATTACTCCCCGCAAAAGAATACTGAGGAGCGTGGATGTGTGTATCAACCAGCCCAGGCATGAAGAACTCACTGGAAATTAATACGAGAGGAAAAGGAAGTTACTAATATCTTCAGTCATTTTCTGTATCTTTAAATCACATTTTCTCTCAACAGTGATTTAATTGTTCACCCCACACAGGTTTAGAGCTGATACAACCAGAAGGCTGTAAATTCCCCTTTTATCTAGAGATCAAAAAACAAGAGTGAGGCTCTGCAGGGAGAGATGCCATCCCTCTGTTCAAGTGAAGTTAATCAAAGATGATGAAGGGGAAAAAATCATAGCACTGAGCAGAAGGAAAGCAGTCATGGAACAAGACACCTCATGACTTTGTTCTCATGACTGGAGGTTATAAGAGAGTGAGCAAAGATGAGAAAGGTCTTCAGAACTTCTAGAGCCATGCTGAGGAATTACTGCCACGTCACTAAGGATGACTGATGAAGACAAACACGGTGGTCACAGTTTTAGATACAGTGGTCATCTTGACCTTGGCTGACTGCAAGAAATCTAGCCCTTTCCCATGTGATGTAGGGGCTGAGTTCTGAAATAGAAGCAGCCACTGCAAACTGAGGCTGGTTAGGGACAGCAATCTTAGGAGCTGAGACTACCAATGGGTGAGTGGTGTAAGAGGGTCAAGATAAAACGCAGTTGCTATGACAACCCTTCTCCAGGTGCTCCTGATCATTTCTGCTATGACCCTGGCCCACCAGCTGATTTTCATATTTCTACTGATTCTTATAACAGAAACTTCTGGAAAGATGTTTCTGAAAGAGTTTTCAGAGGCATTACCCACAAAATCGAGGCAAACCAAAACTAATGGCTTTCCTAAAGAACAATCCAGTTCATTGGTGTCTATTAAGTGTCTAAACACATCCCAACAGACGTTTGTTAGAAGACAGTATGCACTACCACCCTGAGAAAATGCTAATTACATTTTAATATACATAAGGAACTTGAGCTCAAAACTTGACATAACAAAGAATACCTTATTCTACCAATTCAAATGTATACCACCTAAGTGGAAGACAAAGCCAGGGCCATCTATAAAATGCTTTAGTTTCAGGGTCGCCTGGGTGGCTCAGTTGGTTGAGCGTCTGACTTCAGCTCAGGTCATGATCTAGTGGTTTGTGGGTCTGAGCCCCGCACCGGGCTCTGTGCTGACAGCTCAGAGCCGGGTGCCTGTTTTGGATTCTGTGTGTGTCTCTCTCTCTGCCCCTCCCCTGCTCGCACTCTGTGTCTCTCTCTCTCTCAAAAATAAATAAGCATTTAAAAATGCTTTATTTTAAAGTAGTGAGAACTAGAAATGGGTAATGCTACTGCTGATGGTGGCAGCAGCAGATAATTTTATTGACAAAGTGCATGTACTGAGCACCGGACACAGAATCTACATGCATCATCCTATTTGTGGGATGATTATAATAAATATACATTCTTGACTCAGACTGCTTGATTTTGAATTCAAACCCCACCATAAACTGGCAGTGGGATAACCAATGTGTTAAATTTTTAACTTCTTTGTGACTCAGTTTCCCCTTACGTAAAATGGGGACAGTAGCACATTGTTACCATGTGCTAAAACAGCGCCTAGATAATAAAATGCATTAAAAAAAAAAGCAGTAGTTGTTATGATGATGTAATGCTCACAACAAACTGATGAAGTAGTATTGTTATCCTCATGTACAGAGGCTATAATCTCAGGAAATGTAAGTAGCTTGAAAAAAAGTGATCATTCAACTAGTCAGCTTTGGAGCTTATATTCAAATCCAGGAAGCTTGTCGTTAGGCTCAGTACTTTTGGTCACTACCTTCGTATGACTGAATTCTTAATTCACTCTACCAGTAGAGAGCTGTGCCAAGCTAGTATGGCAAGAAGGCAGCAAGAACTGAGTCTACAATGTGGGGCCCACAGAGAGGGACGACTGGTGGATTCCTCTTGGGCGTTAGTCACTGACTTCTTAGGACACCTCAGTCCTTGGGACCTTTCCTGTCTCCACTAGCACAAAATGAAACGGCAGTGTGATTTCTTCAGGTAGGTGAATTGTTCAATCAAATAATATTTCCCAAGGATGTGATAAGATTTTAACAACTCCTCTAAGCCTTCTGGAAAGTCCAAAGAGAAATAAGACATCTTGTCTCCAAAAAGATTATAACCTGGTTGAGCAGGGTAGGAGTGAGTGAGGATATCTGTGCGGGGGTGTTGTTGTGAGAGAGCTAGAGAGAAAGAGAGAAGTAGATCTGGTCAAAACATAAGAGATATTAGTGAGCAATTTCATGCCTAGTGATTTACCCAAGTGAAATAAAACATATGCTTATAAAAAAACAGTGTACAAAAATATTTATAGTGGCTTTATGCATACTAGCCTCAAACTGGAAACAATCCAAATATCACAGGAAAGCAGATAAACAAACTATTGTATATTGGCACAGTGGAATACAACTTGGCAATGAAAAAGAAAGAACTAATGATATAAATAATTATATGGATGCATCTCAAAACATTATGATGAGTGGAAGAATCCAGACACAAGACTTACTGGTTTATTCTATTCATACGACATTCAAAAACAAGCAGAAGTGATCTATGTGATAGAAAAAAATTAAACAGTGGATGAGGGGGTGGAGAGTGACTGGAAAGGGCACAAAGGAATTTTCTAGGCTGATAGGAATGTTTCATATCTTGCTTGGTATGAAACATTTTTGTTTTGGTTACATAATATGCTTATCAAAATTTATCAATTCACATCCCTAAGATCTATGCACTTTACTACATAAAAAATGTTTCAAAAATAACAACAGTCAAAAAAAAGTGTATTTAAAAAGAGTCTTGACAAATATCATATGTTTGCACGTATAGGAGGGTTAGGAGGAACTTGACGGAGGAACAAGGGGGAGAAGAAGGGGGGAAATGGTGGGGGAAAGGGAGAGAGGCAAACCATGAGAGACTCTTGAATGCTGACAAAAACTGAGGATGATGGATGTGGGGGGGAGGGGGGGATGGGCATGGAGGAGGGCACTTTGGGGATGAGCACTGAGTGTTATGTGGAAACTAATTTGACAATAAACTATCTGTAATAAATAAATAAATAAATAAATAAATAAAAAGAGTCTTGAATAGTCAATTAAGTGAATTAATTTGTATTGGTTATTCTGGGGTGCCTGGTGGCTCAGTCGATTTTGGTTAAGCATCCGACTCTTGATTTCAGCTCAGGTCACGATCTCACAGTTGATGAGTTTGAGCCCCACATCAGACTCTGCACTAACCGTGCAGAGCCTGCTTGGGATTCTCTCTCTCTCTGACCCTACCCCACCTCTCAAAATAAATAAACTTAAAAACAGTTTGTATTGGCCATTCTGTACCCAAGAGAGAGGGGATTGAGAGGGTACTTGTTGCTTTGTTTGTTCTTCTCTTTTGCAGAACTGTGACACATTGAACCTCAGGCTTAGGACAGAAATCTGGTGGTGGCAGGTGTGTGTGGGGAGACTCCTTCCATCTCCCAAGCATGACATTCTAAATAAAGATGATGTTGATAGGAACGGAAGGAAAAGATGGACACAAAAGAAAAACCTTGGTATTTTATTAGCTCTGGGAAGCAGAGGAGAGGAATGAGTCCCAGAGAGAGGTTTTGAGCAGGTGAAGCTGAACGACACAAAGGGCAGAGAATGTAGGAGAAAATTCCACAGTGAGGGAGGATGATGTTACTAAGCCTTGTATAGGATGATTACTAAGGTTGGGTTTTTTTTGCCCTCCCCACCACCCTTAAATTCCTTGCCAAGGTGAACACCTCACTTGCCTCACTCTAGTCCTGGCCCCGCCAATTTCTCTACGGCCATAGCCACGATCTGATCCACTTCTACGAAAGCACAGCTCAAAAGGTTCCAGTTAGGATTTTCATTAAAAAAAAAAAAAATCCACACTGTGCTGAGATAGACCTGTAGACATGGGTTAAACACACTGTCAGAGACATCATAGCCTGTGATATTTTAATCGTGACTTAAAGAAATTCAACTGCACCCATCTCGTGTGTTTGATATAAGAATTATTTCGCATTTTGGGGGCACCTGGGTGGCTCAGTCAGTTTAAGCATCTGACTTTTGGTTTCAGCTCAGGTCGTGATCTCACGGTTGGTAGAATCAAGCCCGACCTTGGGCTCTGCGCTGACAGCAAGGAGCCTGCTTGGAATTTTCTCTCTCCCTCTCTCTCTCTGCCCCTCCCCTGCTAGCTCTCTCTATCTCAAAATAAATAGATAAACATTTTTTAGAAAGTATTACTTTGCATTTTAAAAATGATTTTTCTTGGGCGCCTGGGTGGCTCAGTCCATTGAGCGCTGGACTTCAGCTCAGGTCATGATCTCGCATTGTGTGAGTTGGAGCCCGCATCAGGCTCGCTGTTGTCAGCACAGAGCCTGCTTTGGATCCTCTGCTCCCCCCACTCTCTCTCTGTCCCTCCCCAGTTCATGCTCTCTCTCAAAAATAAACATTTAAAATTAAATAAATAAATATGATTTTTCTTCAACGACTTTGGTCATCCACCAAAGTTTACGTTTTTTCTTACCTTACCGCTTCTCTGTGTGGTGCTTTACAGATGCCCCGGGATCTACTTTTGTTTGATGGACTTACCTCCAAAAGCAGCCTCATAAAGAGGGACAGAAGGATGCGAAGAGCCACAGAAGTATTCACCCCTCCCTCCCCTCCCCTGCTGTGCCACTTGCACTGACTCCCAACCTCCCTCTCCTGCACCCCCACAGTTTCGGACCCCATATTCTGAAGGCACACAAGCAGGAATCTAAATGTCAGTCATTCCTCAACATATATTCTCAAGACAATCTAGAGGGAGGAAACAGGTGATGACACAGAAGTGGCTAGAATTATCTCCACGTCCGCTGGAGTCACTTCCGGGTCCACTGCTCCAGAGCTTCCAAGCCCACAGAGAGGCAGCAGGGAAGAGATGTGAACACAGATGTAAGTGCACAAAACTTTATGCGCAGACACCTCATCTCCCTGGACTGTGGCCAGCCCCTCTGCCTCAGAGCCCTAGGGGTACCCCGTTCCCAGATCCGCAGCAGGGTACATATGAGGCATCTGCAGTCGCCAAGGACAATCCTTCTGCCAACAGCCTGAGGCAGGCTCAGAGAAGGGAAGTGGCTTGCTTTCAAGCCACAGCAAGAGCATCCAAGCCAGGTGTCCAACTCCTAGTTCAGCCTTCTCCCTGCGTTACTCTAAAGGCTCTTCCCAAGTTATAAAAATGCTTTTACGATGAAAGCCATGTTTATTGACTTCGGAACTTCCACTGACTTTGGAAACATACTTGCCCTGGAACAAGATACACTCTTTGGGTTTAGAAAAGTATTTCCATCTGTATAAAATAAATCAACCAGGCTATGAAGAGAGTGAGCCAATCACGGCGAATACATTTTGAACAAATATTAAGCCCCCTAAACATAAAACTGCAGCTCAAATTGCTTTTGGGGATACGTCTTCCCTAACCATGCTGTCAGTTACTGATCCCCAAACCTCCGTCCCCTTCCTCCTGGCGGTTTATCTCACTTCTTCTTTACTTCCTTCATGGAAAGTATCACAATCTATCACTAGGCATGCTTCTGTATTTGTGCACCTGCTAACTCCCTGAGATTCCTGCAAGGGCAAAGACTTTATACATCATTTTCTGCTCCAGAGCCTAGTTCTCGCACACAGTAAGCTCAACAGAGGTTTGCTCAAGGAATGAATGAATGATGGCAGGCTCCTGTTCTCAAAGTTTCCACCCTACAGCTTCATGCTCTCTAGTCCTCTCTCGACTCACCCCTAGAGGAAAAGCACAAAGCCTTTCTGTCCCAAGGCAGGTGTCCAATCAACTGAGACTAGTTATTGGCACTAGTTAACAGCAAAAGGAAAGAAGTTGGCTATGACTTACTGGTTGCTCAGCTCTCTTACTTCGCATGGCCGGAAGCACCATTCTTTGGCCAGCTTTTCTTGTTGAGATGCTTCTTCTAAAAACACTATCTTTAAAAGAAAGAAAAGAATCACAAATTAATGAGCTACAGGCATTTGTTGTTGTCAAATGCCTAAATCTTTTAAAAAGAGACTAAACTGTAGCTGAATTGATTTTTAAAGGTGTTCCATACCAAACGGGATAGAGTTTAGAGACAAAAAGACAGGGGTTTGCCTTTGCTTGTCCAAGGAAGCAAGGAGGTTTTTCCTTTTCAGCCTTTCTGAAGACATAAGTAAGACTTCAAAATTCTAATTTGAAGATATAGGGTATTAAAAATGGTTCTCTGGTACCTATTTCTCCCCACACCCCAGAATGATTGAAGGAAACAATTGTTTATAGAAAGTGTACTTCACTGCAGGTGAATAAAAAAGTTTTGTTAGGCTGTTATAGGAAACCTGCATCTAGAGTATGGTAGCAGTATCATGGGGAAAGTTATTGACACAATATAATTCCATATAATAATTGCCCAGTGATCGAAACTTAGCATGAATTATATTGATGTTCTGGTGCTGGACATCGGCCATAAAAAGGGAGGTCTGCTATATGTTTCTAGTACTGTGGATGAGACGCTAATAGAGTAATCTCTCACGCAGGCTCGAGAACCCTAGGCAACAGCTGGGGAACCTTGGATGGCCTTTTACTCTCTCTTTGTCTGGTTTCCCCATCTGTAAACTGGGGTAACATCAGTACATATACTTCACAGGGCTACTGTAGAAAGTAAATGTCATAATTTTGGAAAAGAAGTTAGCACATTCCTGGAACATATTAAATGCTAGATACATTATATCTATTGGTGATTTTTTAAAAATACAGTGTTATTGTCTTCTTTATAAAAATGGATTGCAAAGCAAGAAAAAACAAAGAACAATGGAATACACATGCAGGAAATATCCTGCATTTCATTTACAAATATAAAATCGTGAGAATAAATGTTTCATGGAACATGAAATACTGAAAAAACACTGATAGATAAAATGTATCTAATTAATTAGAAGCAAGGCAATATACTGTGGGGAAACTAGTTTGTGGAACTGAAAATAAAGTAAAATAAATGTTGATTTCTCTATTCATTGGTGATATGCTTTTTTAAAAATTGAGATTTTTATCAAAAGAGAAAGATAAAAATGTAATTCCTACAAATAAGAAAAAGTAATTTGATGATTCAAAGAACATATTTGGATCAATAAATAGATCAAAGCAGATCCATAACTAACTTAGAAAAACTTAAAACAGAATTTATCTATATAATTCAGAGCTGACTTACCATGAAAGACAAATACAAACACACATACAAAAAATGTGCAAAGCACTATATTCACACATTTGAGTATATATTTGAAATAAACTTTAAAAAAAAAAACGTTTATTTATTTTGAGAGAGAGCGAGAGAGAGAGCATGGGGGAGGGGCAGAGAGAGCGGGAGAGAGAGAATCCCAAGCAGGCTCTGTGTTGTCAGTGAAGAACCAGATGCGGAGCTCAATCTCATGAACCCATGAGATCATGACCTGAGCTGAAATCAAGAGTTGAAAGCTTAACCAACTGATTCACCCCAGTGCCCCTGAAATAAATGGTCTTTGAAAATATAAATAATCAAAATTTATTCTGGGAAAGTGAAGCAACTAGTAACTCTAGAAGAAACTGAGGAAATTTTTCTAACCCATGAGGGAAGCCTGTGGTTCAGAACCATGCTGTCTAATAGAACTATAACACCTGTCACAAACACAAGTTTCTCCCTCCTAATAATTGGGGCTCTACCCTGAAGACATGACTGTCTCTGTGTTTCTCATGCATCCCGGTGGGGCAATGAGTTTGGTTTCTTCCATACTCACCATGGCCTCCTCCAAACCATTTTTCTTTCAGCTCCTTGTAAAGTAAATTCCTTTAAGACCCACCCCTTCCAGCTTTCTAAAGCACCTTTCCTCTCTTTGCTGCTCTCCTTTACCAACCTTTCTCTCATTGTCTAGATTTGTTGATGCCTGCCTCACATTCTTTCTCTCCAGTCCACGCCCTGTCTTCATTCCTTAAAAAATCATCATAGATCCTTTTGACACCAAGACCACCCATTTCCAGGAACTCATCTTCAGGGATTTATTCATAAACAAATGAACACATGAAGTTCATGAACTTCACTTCATGGTCACACCTTGGACATGTTCGTGACCCGTAACTGCTCCACCCCCAAAACTGAATCATACATTTGACCAAAATGACCTCTCTTTCCTGTTTGCCATTTCAACTACTCCAACGAATCTTCCACCTAAATTTCCCGTTACCTTCTCCTCTCTACTTTTCCCCAGTCCATCAGTGATCTTCTTCTACGTTGTCCATTTCTAGCTTAGATTCCACCACCTATTATTTCATATTTCTACATCTTAGTCAACACATACCTGGCAGAAGTTCAGCCTTAACTGAATCCAACTCTCCCCTTCTCTTGGCTGCACCTGAAGACCCAGGCAGCACTGGAGCAAAGCACATGATGTGGCTGATGAAATACCCATAACCATCAAGGTCAAGAGTAGTCCTACCAACTCCTATTAACTCCTCACACCCTAAGACATTTCTCTAGCACCATAGTCTTTACTCTCAGTAAAACTTAACAGAAAACATAATTGCATATCTACCAACAGATCATTAAAAATGATTTTTCAGTAATACACTAATATGTAATTTTTATCAAATCACTCAGAAGGAATTCAAAGAATTGAGAGATAAAGCTATAATAAAACTCCTCCCAATCCCATCCACTTGATTTATATGAAAATGTTTCTCAGCACTTAGATGTATAAAAATGGAAAGTAAGGGGCTGCCTGGGTGGCTCAGTTGATGAAGCATCTGACTCTTGATTTCAGCTCAGGTCATGATCTCATGATTTGCAGGATCAAGCTGTGCATCAGGCTCTGCACTGATGGCTCGACACTGCTTGGAATTCTCTCTTTCTCCCTCCCTTCTGCTCATACTCTCTCTCTCTCTCTTTCTCTCTCCCTCTCCCTTTCTCTCAAAATAAATATTTTTTAAAAGAGAAAATAAGAAAAATATTGATGCTGCTCCTATTTCATTAAACCCACAAGTTAATACTCATCCACAGATATATTATCTAGATGGAGGAAAAAAACAACTTTTTTACATCTAACAAATTACCTATGGTCCCAGGAAGTTTGAAATACATTTATGCACAAAAATTTGATCACAACGGTTGATGGATAAAAGACTTTCTAATATAAAACTATATCGCATTAGCATAGACTCTGTAATGAAAGTAGAATAGAGCTAGTAATTCAAGAAGAAAAGGGGGCTATATAGCCTTTCAAATCATTAAGAGGAAGCGAGTCCATGATTTTTTAAAACAGTAGATTAAGATAGATATCAAATCACTATATTTTTATTATGTTAGATACATTTTAAAAGTAATGTCACAGTTCAGTTTTAACACATATATATTTATAATCTGCAAAAAATTATGGCTTTTTATGTATTTAAATTATTTTTGAGAGAAAAAGAGCAAGCACCTGCACACATGTGCAGGAGTAGGGGAGGGGCAGAGGGAAAGAGAGAAAATCTTAAGCAGGCTCCACACCCAGCATGGAGATCAATACGGGGCTGGATCCCACGACCCTGCCATCACAATCTGAGCCAAAATCGAGTCAGAGGCTCAACTGACTGAGTCACCCAGATGCCCCTGTTCTTTAAATACCACTGGAAGGGCGCCTGTGTGGCTCAGTTGGTTGAGTGTCCTACTTCAGCTCAGGTCATGATCTCATGGTTTGTGAGTTCAAGCCTCACATCAGGCTCACTGCTCTCAGTGCAGAGCCTGCTTCAGATCCTCTGTCCCTCTCCCTCTCTGCCCCTCCCCTGCTTACACTCAATAAATAAATAAATAAATAAATAAGACATTCAAATACCATTGGAACACTGGGTTGGAGAAAATTTTAATTCACAAATCAAGTACTTAATTAATAAATTGCTTTCTTGTTCTTATTCATGCATTCACTCAATTATTGCCTGCATGTAAATAAATTGATAGGTGAATATGAGTTATAGTGCATCAATTAGTGAGTGCTGTGATGAAAAATAAATCAAGGTAAATGGATGAGATAAAATGTGGGGTGTGGTGGTTCTCTCTGAGAAATGATGTTTGGGCACAGGTTTACATGAAGGGAGGGAGTAAAACACTTGATATTTTGTGAGGGGCATTCCAGGCAGAGGGAACAAATCAGCATAAAGGCTCTGATATGCTATTGAAATTTAATTTAAATCAGATGCTTGGCAAGTTTTGAATCACCATGGATGCCAGTGGGGAGACAGAAAAAGGACCAGAAGAATAGAGATGGTAGCTGGGGCTTTGCAGATCATGGTACAGCCTTGGGATTTATTTTTAACAAGTATCTAAAATTAGTTTGGAAAATGAATGTGGCAAAGTTAAAAAATATCATTGATATTCTCATTATGGGACAATGCTCTTTCATCCTGAGTTTTTCTGGGTTTATGTGGCTGTTCAATCACATCTTCAATCTTTCACCATGTAATGAGTGCCTGTTGTAACCCATGACCTTCCTCCACACACCACGGTTTAGGTGGGCCGTCTGGCACGTGTAAAAATCAACAAAAACCAAGTTTTATAAAATCATAGATGGTGCCAGCTGACTGGCACCTTCTCATCTGATGTCCTTGTTTTCCAGATGAGGAAATCAAATCCCTTCTGTCAAGCAAACAATTCCAAGTGCTCTCTGACTTGAAACTGAGTATTTAGGATGAGCAAAACAAGAATGTCAGCAATACTAAAGCCAAAAGTGATGAGTAATGGCTGTTAGCTAATGATAAAAAATCTTTGCAAGATAGAGGCTTCAAATACCAGATGGTAAATCTGGGCAAGATGTTTGTTGCTGTGAACAGAGTAAACTGCTCTTCAGGCCATTGTGAATAGCTTGCCCATCCAACAAAATACGATAACATACATTGCAACCCAGTACATAAAATCCACCTTTAGGCCCTGTAATGGAAGACAAGATTAGAT